CATAATCGTAGAAAATCCTTAGCTTTCTGAATAAAAATTTAGTATTTATATTAAGATTTTAGACGTATATAGAGATCTTTGCGAATAAAAATATAATTAAATCTTAGAAAGGTAGACTGAACTTCCACTGTCACTACCAAACTATTAGACCGGCATGCCTGTAGATCTGATGCCAAGACAAAGACAGTATTTTATAAAATAAATTTTAATAAATACTGTCCATTAAAAATTACCTGACTAGATAGCATGGGATAAATGTAGCCGAGATTCGAGGCTTCACTTCGTTTCCGGTCCACTTCGCTTCCTGGTCTCCTTCCATGTGCAGAGCTGCTTTTAAGGTCAGTTGTTGATCAGATGTGTGAAGAGAATGAGACCAATATGCCAGCACTATAAACACTTCGGCCTGATTGCCAGCATTTAGGTTTTTACCCATCAGGCTGAGTAGAGTGCCTCCAGCTCGGGGGCCCACGTGAGGAAAAACCGAATCAAACCTTTGCGGAAGCAGACTGAAAGGCGCAGAACTGACCTGAAAAGTATACGAAAACAGATTAGTTAGATACAAATCTGGAGCAGACATCTAATTCCCCAACAGTTGCAACATAGCATCAACAAGAAAGTAATTCCGATCAAATGTTGCTAAAAAGATCATGAGATTGAGGGGCAGCAATCTTTCTCGACTTCCTCAAGCAGATAATTTAACTTCCTTTTTCTGTGTAAAGATGTTTGACAAAATATAAATCGACAATTTTAATTTCCGTTTTCATATTTCTTTCAAAAGTATCGAAATAGGAGAAAATCGGCCAATATTTACCAGTAGAATAAAAATTATCTAAAAGATTCACACAGTCAGAAACCCACTCAGCAGGTTACTAAGACTCTTTCATTTATGTTTGGCGCACATAGAATCAAAGACATGATATTTTACCTACCTAAAATGTCATCTGTAAATCTGACTTAGCGGCTTAACGACAACAGTTACCATATGGCGACTGCAGTCTCTGTAATTTGAACAAGCTTGATTCGGTCTGGTCAACTTCTATGGTCCTGAATACCCACATTTTTAATAAAAATTGTGCCAGTTAATTAAGTAACTGAGGCTCTCGGATTTTTATCATAAGTTGTCCGTAGATTTCACCCTACATGCTGATATGGCTGCTGTGTAGCTTTAACTGGTAAATATAGGCACAGACTTGAGAACAAGCGTAATAATACACAATCACACATACAGACACTTTGCTACGTATGCTGTGGCTAAAGTCGACATGTGCCCACAAAATCACCCGATGTGGTCGGCCTCCGAGCACGAGATGGAAGCGTCCCAGGACTGGCCAGTCCACCTCATTTATGAAGTGGCGAAAAGCCAGTCGACAGTGGAATCCCTTGAAAGGCAAGAAAAAGGCCATCTCCAGACTGCAGTTGAGACGCACACGAAGGGGTTTCTCCGGCCTGTGAACTAACTGATGAGGTACACCAAAGTATGAAGAATAGCCAGTCACTTTGTGAGAGCCTGTTTCTTCTGGACCGTTTTGCTTATTTGTCTGGCCTTGATTCGGCCCTATGCTCTCCCAGTCATTTACAGCATTTCTTCCTGTCAGGCTTTCAATCTGGTCCTCTTCCTTTCGACCTTCTACTTTCCGTTGCCCTTGATTTCCTTCTATATTTTGCCCATAAATCTCCCTCACGGACTGATTTGACTCCGGCCATGTGCTCTCCCCCTCAAAATAGCATTCGATAATATCGCCAATTGTCTGGCCCAGATTGCGCCCATAAAGACGTAGGAGAGTTCCTCCTCGCGTTGTCGCGTTCGGAGGGTTGATCTAGAAGACAACGAAAGGAGAGTTATAAACTGGATATGATAAATGAAAGAGACATAATGTGAATCGAAGCAAGAGGCCAAATATTGCCCAAACATCCCATTTCTGGAAGAGAACACGAGAAGATATTTGCTGAAAAGCTCAGAAACATAACTTTTGTCGAAATGGGTAGATCGAAGTGAACAAGGACAACAACTGGTAACTGGTAACTGGGTTTCGAAGACTATCATTTTGTATAAAAGTTCATGAATAAGAGAGAACGGCTGATTCGTGTTGTACTGCAGCGGTTTGGCTTTACTATGACGTTTAGGTTGGCACAGTTTACGAGTTATCCTCCCTCGTTTCTAACCTGCTTGCAGTTGTCATAGTGAGTAAGTATTTTCATTTGGGCAACTTACTTATTTAATCAGGTGCTTCTAGAATCATTATGACCACCTACTATAAACAATAGATTTCTAAAGCAAATGCAATGTACCTATTCTAGTATTCACTCAAAGAGAAACATAGTATAAATCTTAAAATATCCTCACTCATGTTGATTTCAAGTTATTTGACAGTTAAAAACCTGTTGGCCTGAAAAACTCTTAAAGACATTTGAGGAGTTTTCATAAATTAGAGTTAATGACAAGATGCAATAATGACTTGATATTATTCTTCCTATTAATCCCTATATCACAGCGCAATTTGGCACAATTACTTTAAATGATAATAGCTAAAGCTGAAGTTGTCAGTCTACTTCATTTTGTGATAGTCGTGAAGTTGGTCAATCTGTGCAAACTATTCAGGAGGGGGCTTGGTTTCTTCATCGTACCTTTGCTTGCAAAAGTGCATCCTTATTCATCAAGGATTCCATATCATTAATGTTCTCTCTGCTAAGCGCTTGCTTCAAATCCATTTAGTAGTAGATATATGAATATTTAAGCGATAGTTCATCTGGTAAGGAAAGTCTATAATATGTAGGATGCAATTTAGCTCACTGAAAATTTATGGCTTTACCTTAATCTCTCAGAATCAGCTCGAGTTACAGTCTCGGAAATATTTATGGACCAGCAACCTATAGGTTACTTAAATAATGCTTGAAGTTACAGAGTTTTGTTTGAGTATGGGGTATAAGATTTATCAAGCCACTTTGGAAAGCACGAAAACACAAATTGACCATGCATTATCTGTCTCTTAATAGTCCTATATGGCTTATGAAGAAACGGTGATCAACTAGGCGTTTATGTGCAGGATAATCTACAAGAGAACAAAAAAATTAACCTTATCACTTGAAGAACTCGTACAATATGTTTATCTTAATTGTGGCAGCTACTATAAGAGGATACTGGGCAATGTATGACAACCAATATATCCAAGGTATGTGACTACTATATCCCCTATCAGTCATTGCCAAGCGACCATAAAAAACAGAAGAGAAGCCCCAAATATCATACTCACTTTTCAGTATCGTTAATTATTAATAACTTTTTTACGATTAAATCTGCTAAACGGATCATTAACAGAGTAATGACTAGAAAAATAAACATTCGGAATCACTAAAGGCTTTATACACGGAATACATTTTTGTAGTTCTGCCAAAAAAATTATTACGGCTAGCATCAAATTTAAGTAGCACAGAAACAAGTTAATGAAATAAAGTTCTAATTTTGCTTTCCTCAACAGGATTCTCTATATACGTTTAATGGTTATATGCTTGAAGGTAATTTATTTAAGAAAATAAATAATTTAAGCCGGATAACTCAGTTGAACTCCACCATAAGACCTAAGTTCTGATGTATTTTTGCACCAGGCTCAAAAAATATTTGATTCGCCAAATATAAGACCCCAGAAAAGAGAAACTTTA